GGACGCTACGCGCCTGTACTAGTGATATGTTTTCGCTATAATGACGGCCCCTTGATGATGGAATCGAATATTTTATATAGGTATGTGCAGCGGCGTATTTAGAGGACATAAAAGGGGTCACAAGGAAGATTCTCGTGACAGACTTTCAAAGCCAAAAATGCAAGTGTAATGCATTCGGTAGCTAAATGGTCAGTCACTGCTGAGAAGGCTATGCCCAAAACATTCAAACTAAAAATGTTGACACATTTTTATATTTTTTATTACTTTTATTTCTATTTTCCTTCTTTATACACACACTCTAAATAAAATTCTAGATAAAATTCTATTTCTCAAATCAAATGCTTGGGCTCCCTGTGCTGCTAAACCGGTCATACGTGTTTTCAATTTCATCCAATCATCGTCGAGTAGTCTTTCACTCCCATATCACGTGATTTATCAGGTTTTGGGAAACATTTGTCCAATCAGCATCGAGTATTATTTTCCCGCCTTTATCTGTTGTKTGACTCRTGCGCGAGCGTCAGTTTGGTTTGTGAGTTTGAGGTCGTCACAGTTCTCTGGGTTTGCTTGTCCTTTTGTTGGATATTTAATGCTCAACTTACACTTAAATTGTGAAGATATCATGCTACAAAAATACCTTGACAAACGGTAAGTGTTTTTCACGTCTTAGTTTAGTCCTTATTGAAGACCTTTTAGTTTAAAAAACATCGTTTCAAAGAATGATTAAGCTTAACTTACTTTTCATCTTTCTAGGTTGACTGTCAAGGTTAACATGCAAGACCAGATAACCAAGGTTTGGTAAAAAAATACACTAAAACATCATCATATTTACATGTAGTTTGTTGACAATTAATAACTAATCTTTATAATTCTTTTATTCGGTATTCAAGCGTTTTTTCAAAATTTGCTATTTTCTGAAACTAGTGAAAAGGTCTGAAAACAGTACAATTTTCACTTCTTTTAAGTTTTACCGTTGAATTTTAAATTAGTCATTGCCTATTGAACGCGGAATTTACGGAATAGACCGAGACTTCGTTTAATAGTTCTGAAGCAAAAATCTACTTCATGTAAAAATTCAACTTTTGCTTGAAGGTTTAACTGACTTCACTTTGCACCTTTGTCACAATGTCAACTTTTTTCTTGTTTTATTATTCAAAAAATAACAACAAAATCAATTTCAAATACCAAATTTTCAATTAAACATTAGAAAGATGTAATGTTTCTGTCATAATTCAAATAAACTTGGTTGTATTGAGCTAAGAAAAAAAAGACATGAAATCCATGTTGAATTTTATAGCTAAAGAAATA